GTGAAAATTCTTTCGAATCCTATCCTCATCTTCAGGTCTCCAGGTGACCTTTCTCTTTGCAAATGATTTACACAAAAAAACAAATAATAATAATTGTGTCAATGAATGTAACTGATAAAGAAATTCAAAATTTCCAACAAACTGATAAAGTTGAGTTTAGTTAAATTTGACTCCAATCACCCACCAGAGTTGAAGGCATATCAGGGTATTCATGAGTATCCACTTCCCTTCCCTTTATTTTCTAACTTATGACCTAATCTTCCATTTTTGATGTTATAATGAACATTTTTGTAAATCGCTCTAGAAGGATCCAACTGGACCTAAATTTGTCAAATATGCTCATAAGTTTTTTGGGGTCATGATTATGAAGCATTTGTAAGGTGGAAACACATTCTTAACTCACCCACCAAGAAACTAAGCCACAGAGACATGAACCAAGCCAATAGGACTTGGATAACACCAGTCTCAACCTCATCAAGTGAAAACCACAGATTCAAGTCAAACTAAACAGAAATAACGGTACAAAAAACCTTAATAAACCAAGATCTTATTCAACTAACAGAGCCACCAATTCAATGATTCATATGCAAATAAACCAGACCCGGGCTTAATAGTTAACTAAGCAGAACAGTTCAGACTCCAAAAAATGTGAAAGAAATAGGATTAAAGCATAATACCAGGCTTAACTCGCTGCCTCTATATCTCACATCTAGCTCAGTGGCACAATGGGGGTGGGCTGGAGCGAGGAGAGGCGGTGACCGCAGCCGGCGTCGAGGTGACTCAAGTTCCAGGCTGCAGGGATGCTGCGCGACAGGGGGTGTGGTGGCGTCCTGACCTGGAGGTTGATTTGCGGCTGGGTTCGCGGTGGCCGGCTATGGGCAGTGAGATGTGGTGGTTCCGATGAGGGTGATTGGGCGAGAATCTGGAGGCTGAAAGCTAAGATGTGGTGCGACTGCGGGGTGGTTCTGCGTTGGTGAGAAGCTTTGGTGAGTGAAGGTGGAATTAGGGCACGGGTATGGTTGTGGTGGTGACGGGGAAGAAGCCTGGTGGTGACGGGTATATGGGTTCAAATGAGGATACCGTGTGGGGTGCTCGAGAGTGGGGAGGCTGCAGCTAGGGTTGTGGTGAAGGAGGTGGGTGGCGGGTTATAGAGGAGGTTAGTGAAATTGAGGGAGACAAAGGAAGGAGTTAGGGAGCTTGAGTGAGGCGCGGAGGAAGTGTAGCGAGGGTTTTTTCTTTTTTTATTTTTTTTTATTTAACATCCGTAGGTAAATGAGTAGGTAAAGTAGTAAAAAACATTACCTACCTCCTACATCTGTAGGTAATGCATAATCCTCACATCCGTAGGTAAATTCCGTAGGTGGGGATCAAATGAATGATCATCATCTTTATCTTCTGCTTATTTCTATCTTTATATTTTTTGCTTGGACTGTAATATTACTGGTGTTATACCAGGTACATTTGCCTTAACCTTGATTGATATGATTTAGGGTCTAATTGAGATTAAACTGGCATAGATAGAAGTAGATCATAGATCCCTAAGAATCTAAAATCTGATATTGTTAAATCTGTTAGTAAAAAGACAATCAATATAGTTGATAGTAATCTAGACAATCAGTTCACAACATATCCAATAGATTAGATATGAAAGATTCACATCGGAGATATTATGATTTTCAAAATCTGGTTGTTTTAGTCAATAAAAATACCTTTTAATCGGTTAAATAAACTTAAACAACAGTTTTCATTATCTGGTTTTAATCGATTTAAAATCGAAATAATCGATTATTTTCACTAAAATCTCATGTTTTCAAAATCTTAAATGTTTTAATCGATTAAAACTTTCCTTCAATCGATTAAAATCATTTACCAAAAACATTTTAACCGATTATGCTCGTTTTTAATCGATTTTTATTCTGAAAAGAGGATTAAAGGCTTTAGTTAATGGTTGTTCCTGTAACATGCTACTAAAGCGTGATTCCCTTATCTTTACACGTGTTAATTGTATTCATTACAAACGTGTTAATGGAGATAAGCTTGAATCAACTTTAATTGATTCTTTTCATGAGTGAAATATTGATTTACTTTGTATTTTCAAAAACTTGAGCACATTTCAAATCCTACATTTTTTTCTCTTCTATTCCCTATTTTTGATGAAGTCAAAAGGGGGAGAAATAGTTGCTTTATTTGAGGATAAATTTAGAAAAATAACTCTTACATTAAGAGAGCAACATTTTAGGGGGAGAAATAAGTTTTAGGGGGAGAAATAAAACTTTATTACATTCTTATATTTCTCACCTAACCTCATTATCAAGTGACTTATTTTGCAGAGATTGTTTTTTCAAAATGGTGTTTGTCTTCATCAAATAGGGGAGACTGAAAGTGATCCTAGCAAAGATCTCGAGTGATTTGATGAAGTCAAAGATAAAGTCAAAGGTCAACTCGCAACAGTCAAACAAGTCACTCGAAGAATGGAGTCGAAGACTTAGTGTGTCTTAACGAAAGCTTAGGTAAAACCACTTTACCTTTTCTACTGCATGAAGCTCCTTCACTCAATTTGCAAAATGCCTCAAAAATAGTTTTAAACAAATCAAACAAAAGCATTTTGACAAAGAACTTTCTTAACAATGTTTTTAACCGATATAGTTTTAAAAGAAACAATTAAAATCACTTAGAATGCGTAAAGAAGTGTTTTTACAGTATTTTAATCGATACAAACTTCTTTTAATCGATTAAAACCCTTTATGACCGATTAGAATTCGAATATGACAGGTCAGAATGAAATATAATCGATCAGACTTTAAAAATGAGCGATCAGATTTATTTTAATCGATTAAAACACGTTTCAATCGATTAAAACCACTTTGAAGTCAGGATGATCGATCAGAATGAAATTATGACTGATCGAAGTTGGTTATGATCGATCAGAATTGAATTATGACCGATCAGACTTATTTCAATCGATTAAAACGAATTTCAATCGATTAAAATGACTTGAAAATTTTTGTACAGAGTTTCAATCGATTAAAACGCATTTCAATCGATTAAAATGACTTAGAAAAAATTCTGTGCAGGTTTTTAATCGATTAAAACTTCTTTGTATCAGTTAAAATAACTTGAAAAGTGTTATAAGAAAGTTTTAAACTAAATCAATCGATTAAACCGCGAATCAATCGATTAAATCACTCTTAGAAAATGTTTGTAAAATGTTTTAACTGATATAAACATGGTTGTATCAACTAAAACCATTCTGTTAAAGAAACAAGAACGCATTAATGGGTTGAAAGGACTTTTAACAGATTATAACGGCTATTTCAACAGATTAAAACAAACTTTCAACAGATTAATTAATGCAGCTTTTTCTGAAAACTCTTTTAAAAACAAATTTGCTTGGAACTTTTTACATATCAGTTTTCATACAAACTAAGCAACAATTCAAGCAACTGTTAAGCATCCTTTTCCAAGAAAGATTCGCAACTGCTTTGTGAACTTCTTTTGAAATCTTTCTTGAGGCACTTTTGCATTACTTTGAAGAAGAAACTTACTGTGGATTAGTGTAATCCGGTTTGCGCTTTCTAAGTCTCTTCTTTTCAATTACTGTTAATTCTTTTGTATTGTGTTGTACCTGGAATTTGGGTACAAGTTTTCTGCAGCTGGTAGGTGGTTGTAGAAGTTTCCAAGAACTGGAATTTGGTTCTTGGTGGAGAGGTTGAGTACAGGAACTGGAATTTGGTTCTTGTACTTGTGTGGTGCCTGGAATTTGGAGTACTCGGGTTCTCTCGTGCTGGAATTTGGTTGCAGAGGTTTCCAAGAACTCGGAATTTGGTTCTTGGTGGAAAGGTTGAGTGCAAGAACTGGAAGTTGGTTCTTGTGTTAGAGTAGGTGTAAGATTGTTGAGTCCGTAAAACATCTATTCTAGTGGAACCCAGCTGGAATTTGGTTGGAGACTGGACGTAGCCCTGGTATTGGGTGAACCAGTATAAAATACCGGTGAAATCTTTCTTAACCTTCCTCTCTTTAATTTCAGTTGCTGCGCCAAATATTGTTTGATTGCTTGGTAATTCAAAAAGATTTTTAGAAACTTAATTTTCGAATTAGATAATCTGAGATTTGCGAAAAACTTTCAAAAGATCAATTCACCCCCCCTCTTGATCTAAAACTACTTTTCTAACAAAGATGTGGTGCGACTGCGGGGTGGTTCTGCGTTGGTGAGTGAAGGTGGAATTAGGGCACGGGTATGGTTGTGGTGGTGACGGGGAAGAAGCCTGGTGGTGACGGGTATATGGGTTCAAATGAGGATACCGTGTGGGGTGCTCGAGAGTGGGGAGGCTGCAGCTAGGGTTCTGGTGAAGGAGGTGGGTGGCGGGTTATAGAGGAGGTTAGTGAAATTGAGGGAGACGAAGGAAGGAGTTAGGGAGCTTGAGTGAGGCGCGGAGGAAGTGTAGCGAGGGTTTTTTCTTTTTTTTTTTATTTAACATCCGTAGGTAAATGAGTAGGTAAAGTAGTAAAAAAACATTACCTACCTCCTACATCCGTAGGTAATGCATAATCCTCACATCCGTAGGTAAATTCCGTAGGTAATAGATAATTTATATACGAACATACTTTTGTAGGTAAAATCCGTAGGTAATGTAAAATTTACCTACGGATTTTTACCCGTAGGTAATATTCCGTAGGTAATAGGCTTTTTTCTTGTAGTGGTTTAGCCACAAGTCAACAATCGCTCAAGCGATATTTATATCGCTCGAGCGACGCCACCTGCTAAGATTGGGGATTCTCGGGTTGAGTTTCGCTTGAGCGACCATAGTCTCGCTCGAGCGAAATATGATTCACTTTTAAGAGCGGTCAAAGTATTAACCGCTCTTAAAAGTGATCATATAATAGCGGTTCTTTCTAGGACCGCTCTCTTTAGTAGGTTGAGATAGCGGTTCTGGAAACCGCTATCTAAAGTCCCAATTTTAAAAAAAAATTATTTAAATTTGAAATGCCAACGGAACCACGTTGACGATGTTGCCGGAAAAATTGTACAATGCGGTGGTGGGTGAGTTCGACTGACAAGTTGGGCAAGTTCACAATCGCGAAGGTCGAGGTCGAGGTCGACGAAGGAACGAGAAAGTTCTGTGTTACAAAAATGAGAATCAGAGAAGGAGGAGAGATGACCAAGGAATGAATTATTTAATAATAAAAACACTGTACATTTAATATTTTTTATTCAGTAACACTGTACATTTATTATTTTTTTATTGGGTTGTCGAATGGATGTTTAAATCCGGTTGTCAAAATATCAGCCCTCTTAAAAAAAATATGTCCTAAATCAATTGTACTTGTCCATAATTTTTTACAGTTGGCATGCTCATCTCCCTTTTTCCTCCGTTATGAAGTTTTTCCTGACATGAAAGAATCAAAATATCAACAATAAACCCACCACCGGTGATAGTGATGGAAATCTTTTAACAAAATGTGACACAAAAGAAAAAAAAGATAGTTAAGAAAAAAAATCACTACAATTAATTAATGATACAATGCATCGAACTGAGTCACGCCCTTTCACAGTCAAATTATGTGTGCACACGTGAAACTGGCGCAGCATAGTTACTCGTAGACAATTCCCAGTGTAGCTAAAATATTCAAAGCCCCTCCATCTAATTCCCATTCCTCCCCTTGGCCAGAACAAGTCCATATTTTTTTCTTTTGATTTCTCCTTTTTCTCTCTGATCTCTGTCAGTCGGTCCTAGCACGCACTCACATTTGTCTTTTTTTGTGGGTCGATTATGTTGTTTTACATCTGAAACCTTACACAATAGCCAGTGCTAATTATAGTCTCCGAGTCAATTAAAAGGGGTTGTGACTATAATAAGAAAGTAGTACACCATCAAATTGTATGAAAAGAAATTAAATTAGAGAAAATGAAAGGACAAAACAGAGAATTCATTGATTCCGCATCCTCATCGGTACCGGTGGTCTCGAACGCGCTTCAGCAGCGTCTCCAATTCATTCTGCAGAGCCGTCCGGAATGGTGGGTCTATGCCATATTCTGGCAAGCCACCAAAGACAGCGACTCCCGTTTCACACTGGAATACGGCGGCGGCTTCTTCAGGGGTGCAAAGGGGAGAGAGGAAAGGGAACATAGCATGTTGGAGGAGCAAAGGAGGAACGTGAACGACATTGAATGGTTCTACAGGGTGTCGCAAACTCGGTCGTACGCCGCCGGGGACGGTGTTGTCGGGTGTGCCTTCAACTCAGGGGTGGATGTTTGGTTGAGCGGAGTGAACGAGTTTGAACTGAACGAGTGTGACGAGAGAGTAGGGGAAGCTCGCAATCATGGGATCCACACTTTAGTCTGCGTTTACGTAGCACGTGGCATCCTTGAGCTGGGTTCGTGTGACGCGTTGAAGTTGGATCATGGGCTTCTTCAAATGGCTAAATCGGTGTTTGAGGAACGTGAGAGTGAGAATCCACTATACAAATGGTGGATGGTTACGGGGAAGGAGAAAGAGAGAAGAAGAGAGCTGGATGGATCGTCGACGGACTCATCAGGGCCTTCTGATGCGGAGGCTCCTTTGGCGTTTGCGGAAGGCAGCAACAATGTTCCGATGATGACGAGAAGGGTAGGGAGCGGACGTGAGATGCTGCCCATAAATCACGTGGAGGCGGAGAGGCAGCGCCGAGAGAAGCTGAATCAGAGATTCTACGCTCTTCGCTCTGCGGTCCCTAATGTCTCTAAGATGGACAAAGCCTCCCTGCTTTCGGACGCTGTTTATTATATCAATGAACTCAAGGCCAAAATCAGCCAGCTGGAGGCCGCATTGGAGACCAAACAGGAAGCTGCTGTAGACCATGTTCAGCCACTCACCTCTGCAACCACTAACATGAGAGTTGAGGTGAAGATCTTGGGGTCCGAGGCCATGATAAGGGTGCAGAGCCTCAACGTGAACCACCCCTCTGCCAGGTTAATGGATGCTCTCAGGGACGTCGATTTGCAAATTCTGCATGCCACAATCTCCAACATCAAAGAGATGATGCTGCAAGACGTTGTAGTCAGGGTTCCCCATCACCTCATGACCCAAGATGCGCTCCAAAATGCTATTCTTCACAGACTCTGACATCTTACATTAAGGATTTCCTTCACTCTGGCTATATATATTATCATCATTATATATATCCATTACTCCTCTTTCAGTGGTGTTTTTTTTTTTTTTTTTTTTTTCTTCTAAATTTCCACTTCATTGTCCGTGTATCTTCTAGTTTTTAGATTTCCAAATCATCTATGTGGCATCCGTAACTGCACGAAATTACAATCTTTCAGTTTTTTGTCTTCTGTATATTGTTAGAGATCACTCTATAATATATGCACTCTTTTTACCTTTACGTTTTGAAAGACACGAATTAGCGGTATTAAAAGTTGTTTTTGGGAGAAAGTGGAGTTGAACAAGAGAAAGTTCAATGGATGACAAATAATGATTGAATTCATTTACTTGCTATGACCCACGAAAATGATTTTGTTTTGCTTATTATTGCCGGGAAAATCCAGTAATAAATAAGTTTCAGATCACTAGTGCAAAAAGGGGCTTTTACGTCAGGTATTTAGGGTTTTTTACGTCGTATTTAAGTCCGACGTTAAAGCGGGAGACGTAAATTTACGTCGGACCCTTTTGCCCGACGTAGATTTACGTCAGTTATCAAGATCCGACGTAGATTTACAATAAATAGACGTAAAAACCTTTTCAATTTAAAAAAAAACAAAAAATTTACGTCGTATATGGTATACGCGACGTAAATTTACGTCGCATATACCAATACGCGACGTAAATTTACGTCGCATATACCAATATGCGACGTAAATTTACTGTTTTTTTTTTAAAATTCGGTTTATTTATTCTGTTTTACAACTAAAACCTGCAAATAGTAATCCAGACAGTCCAGAGGTTCAGTTTTCTTTAGCTAGTAAATTAAAAATATAATATTATATAATTCAAACTACATAATAAAACAATATAATACAAACATACAAACTAAAAAATCTATTACAAACTAAGCTACCTATACAAACTAAGCTACCTATACAAACTAAACTAAACTACATAATACACACAATATAATGACTTAAAAAATAATGTACTAGAATTGTTGAACAAAAAATTTTGCCCATTGTTCTCTAATTTACGTAATCTCAGATTCTCGTAATGGAGATGGATCTTGAAATACCTGAAACATGAATTTGACTCTTGTAAGCATGCAACATGAATAAAGTTAAATAAACTTAACTAATGTTAAAAGTAATTACCTCCGTCCAAGAATCAATTAAACCCGCACAAACTATGGCTCTCATCCAATACATTACATAATAACCACATTCAAACGAGTCAGTTTGCTTATTACACTTGAAATGATGAAAAAACATAATATTATTTTCAAAATTGAAATACAAACAATAATTATGGTATTCACTTATATAAATAAGTTTCTAACCTTAGGATAAATGAACTGCAAAGTCTTTGTTCTAGGTTTTCCACTTAGAACATTAGTTCCGGACACGATTCTAAGTGAAAAAAAGTCATATATTATTCAATATGTATTCACAATTTAAAAACATAATTAATGAATAAAAGATAAACTTACCCTTGTAATAAGCTTTTCATTTCTTGACTCGGTTTCGATGTAATGAACAAAACCACACCACGAGTGTAATCCTGGGCATGATTACAATTAACTGCCAATGGGACCTACATTGTATGACATAAAAATTAGTTACAAAAATATAAATTAAAATACAAATTAAAATACTAACCCTTCAATGTATGGAGCCAAATATATATGTCTTCTTGAGTCACTCATCCATGTTTGCATATATTGTTGGATTCCAACCTTTGTATTTCCAGATTTTTGGATGGATTGAGGCTCAATAAATCCGTACACTTCGGATTTTTCTTGTTCCACACTCAAATTGTCAAGGTACCTAAAACAATTAATTATAAGTTGAATATAATTATTATAATCTTAGAAACATAAATGAAAATGACTTACATTGCCCACAATTGTATGATGGAAATGTTTAACATGCAATTTCCCCAGGCAATTTCTAAAGCATCGGGCAAGGAAATGTACAATGGAACACTTGGAATTGTCAATTCCAAACACTCTAACATCCCATTGTATTCGACACGGTCTCTTCCTCAACCGTGGTAATACGGCTTAACAACATAGAGATGGGATCATCATCACATTCATCGAGATCCTCATCAATAATAGGTTGTTTTTTATGCTTTGCACGACGCAAGTCCTCCTAAACAAATGATAACAATTAATTAAACATTTATATAATTATAATACTAGAAAAGAGTAAATAGACAATATGTATATATATATATATATATATATATATATATATATTACCTTGGTACTGTGTCGATAGTGGCATAACCAAACGTCTTGGCCAAGCCAAGAATGTCCCGCTTGCCTGCCCCACTAATTGAATCTCTTCATTAGGAAAAGGCACTTGGAGCATTAGCATCATGAACTTCATCAACTACTACTCGTGTCCAGTCCGGCTGTAGAGGGACACCATGGATGGTTAAGCCACCCTCAAAAACTTCGACCAACGACCCACTAGACGCGGGGGTCATCTTCAACATATAACTCACACTCGGTGTGATGCATCGATCTGAGTATATTCTCCTGAAGGATCAACGGTAGTAGCAGCACAACTCCCTTTAGTGCTGACTCGAACAATATCATGTTCAATTGTTTGAGGTGTTCCTTGAGTCTCGTTGCTTGAGAGCGGGCGAGAGATTCAATTTTCTCATCAAACTCTTGCTTGCAAGGACTGCCTTATTTGATTTAACTTTTCTTCAAACTGCATCTCCATTTTATGCAAGGCCTCCCGGCTGCAAGAGTCGCGAGTGGTCCTTCGTGATGTTGGACCAAAGTAATCACGAAGGCCCCAGGTTCCACCAGGCACCACGCACACGTCCTGAGTAATCTGGTTTTCCTATGGCTGTCGCCAATATATCTTGTCGACCATGAGGAATAAATGATCCTTGGCTGGTCTGCTCAACTAAATCATCCTACAACACATTAACAATAATTAAGTCATACACTAACTTTCAAATTAGAATCAATTCAAATTGACATTATAACTTACGATTTTCTGAGCAATGATTCGTGCAGACTCAGAAGTCATTTGTCCATCAGATTTTGTCCGGGCTGCCTTCCACATCTGATAGCGAGGGGTGGAGATGCAAGGTCGGTAGAATCAACTCCTGCGACTCTTCTCTGGATTTCATGAGACGTTGCTCCAATAATGCATACCCTCCTCGTGACAATACATGGGGTGCATCATTCAACCTCTGACGTTGTTGGGCAGCTTGTCTTTTATCCTGCCAAGAGGGGTCCATTCGGCTGGCACAAAACTGTAACCAATCCTCCTCACTAATTTGATACTTTACACAGGGAGATTCATCTCGAAACTTTCCAAATACATACTCCCGTGTCAAGAAAGTCTTAAAGTCCCTCCATCTAATGGCAATGGAGGATAAAATCTTCTTCCTCATCACCTCAGTGTTAGGAACATCAAAATTTTGCTGTGAAATGACCAATAAATGTTAAATTCAATTAATAATGATATATAAAGTATTCAACAAATATAGAAATACCTGAACATCCTGCCACATGAGGTTCTTCTCGGTTTCCTCAACATCATCCCAAGATGGAGTAGTAATCGGAACATGGTGTCGAGCTAGTAGTCCCAAATAGCTCTTAAACTTAGCAGCATTTGGGCCAGATGCCTTACCAGAACGTGGATCAACTTCAACTTGAGTTTTCTCTCTAGCTACCCTCCTTGCTGTCAACCCCTTTAACCGAGTGACAGATCTACCTTTATCACCACTTCAGCTCCTGCTACCTGCCACTACCACTACCAGTACCAGTTGTGGAATCCGACATATCCCGAAAAACAAAACAATATTAAGTCAACATACTTTATAAGTTTGAATAAAAAGAACTAGAAAATGTTAAGATAAACACCTATTATGTTGGTATGTTTTCCCATATCCCTTCATCATGATCACTTCGAATTGCATGTATGTCATCAACTTCATTGTCAACTATGTCATCAAATGGTCTACTTGAAAATGAAGGTGTTTCATGTATATCTAGAGACTCATCTTCATGAATTCCGTGCATGTTTCTTCCTTCTAGGACAATTGACCATCTCTCATTACATGGATCCTTGACATAAAATATTTGTCTCGCTTGATATGCCAAAATAAAAGGTTCATCCTTATACCCAACTTTACTCAAATCAACCAAAGTAAATCCTAGGTCATCTGTTCGCACACCTGTATTCCCTTCAACCCATTTACACTTGAAGACAGGCACCCTAAAAGTAACATAATCAATTTCCCATATCTCTTGTATGACCCCAAAATAACTCATAGAAGCTGTGATAGGATTTTTGTCTTTAGAACTAGAAAAATGCATAGATTCAGACTTGAATTGTGACCCCACTATTTTGTACTCTACCTTTATCATCTTCTATTTTTGAGTAGAAACAATAGTTATTAATGTCATACCCACCAAATGTAATGACATCACTATTAGGCCCACGAGCAAGTCTCAGAAGTGTTTCTGAAGCATTAATCTCAACATATACCCTTTTTTTAAACCAAGAAAGGAAACTTTTGTTATGTTCATTCAATACCCATTTTTCATTCATTCGTGGATGTGTTGCCTTTATTTCAGTTATGTGTTGTGATATGTAAGGGATTACTTCATCGAGTGTTGTTCAATATGTATAAATGTGCTTGGTCAACTTCTTTCCGACTAACATTTTTAATCTTCAAATTTCGAGTACCCTTACCTTCACATCTTCCATCATGTCTCATCTTAGGAATACCTATTGGTTCTGATTTTGACATGTATCCTTGACAAAACTCAATGGCTTCTTCTGCAATGTACCTTTCCACAATAGAAGCTTCTGGCCTGTACTGATTCTTCACATATCCTTTTAAGATCTTCATGTATCTCTCAACAGGATACATCCATCTAAGAAAAATTGGACCACATAACCGAATTTCCCTTACCAAATGGACTATCAAATGCACCA